GATTTCCTGGCTCCTGTCATGAGTTGATTGTTATAACTATAGGCTGGTTCCTTCAGCTGCATCCCCAAGCTGTGAGACTGACCCATTTGTTGTTAAATGATTCACAGACCTATGTGTGGGTCTTCCACTGTGCAAGGTTGAAGGCTGTGACACAGTAACTGGTCATTGGTAACCATTCTACCATCTCCCAGTGCTCAAAACTGTACTAACGCAGAAGACATAGGACAAGTTTATGACCACAAGGACCCTGGTCTCCTGTGGCATGTGAGTTAGGTCTTCATTTGCAAAGTGTGTAGGAAGATGTGCTCTTGTGCAACTGAGATGATTTGTATGTTGTTTTAAACATTAGTAGCCCATGCAAATGGAGGATCCAAGAACCTCGAATGGTTGTATCTGGTGGGACCAGTGATGAGCCAACCACCTAAGTAGGATAAGGAACACTGAGTTCTCATATTAGTCATCTATCTGATTTAAGATTCCTTGAAGCACATCCCAGGAGCTTTGGAGGTTTCATCATCTCTAAACTCCTAAGTCTTACCAGAGGACTTCCTGGGGCTTTTCCAGACCTACCAGTGTATGTTGTTGCTTGTGGACTCTTCAGTTAGCCTGGTGGCTACTCAGCGCACAGTGGCATTAGACCACCAGACCTTTCTTTCTAGTCTTCCTTAGTCTGGAGTTCCATTCAAACTTTCTTAGCATGACAGCAGAACAGTCACCTTGAAGCAACAAAAGCTACAGTGGCTGAGACTCCACTCCTTGTCTTCTGTGTGGAGGCATAAAGTCTATCACTGAACACACCCACCTCCCCCCATTATGTAACAAAGTGTCATTCCCTTACCTTCCTGGTTATTCATTATTGCTATTTCCTTTTTGTTTATGACAATTCCCCGCTTGTAGAATTTACTGAAGGCAGCATTCAGCTCTTTTTTTTTAGGCAAAATTCACATTTATGTTGCATACCTTTTGATAAAAACCAGGCAGTTTTATCATTTAGTTATGATTAAAAGAAGTGTTAAAAAAGAAAAGAAGACAGAGAATAGAAACAGGATTGTGACTAAGTGTCATTGGTGTGTACTGCTATATTGAGCATGATAAACATGCAGCCGAAAAGAATGATTGATGGCGCTCAGGGACTCCTTTTGAAATAGAAATAGTTTAGTCATTTCCCTCTCTATTTTATTTTTTAAGAACCAAGTGACTTAGTCTACACTAATTGCCCACATAATAAATCTCATTTGGCTAAGTCCGGTTCAAAACTATGCCTGAAACCAATAAGTTGTTTGTTTTCTAATTCCCACATTTTGGCTCAAAGTGAGCTTTTCAATTTGTATGCTGAAGTATAGCCTGAAGCAAACTTTTACGGCGAAGTTATGAAACCACAAAGTGGTTTTCATAATGGAAGTGCTGACAGACCCTTAACTTATGGCCACAGTGAACCTGGGAGCCACCTCAGTATCTAAGAGCAGCTTTTCCATAAATGTAACATTCGGTTTCCCCCAGGATCCATCTTAGTGCTTTAACTACCTAGGTTAGTCAGCAGAGGAAATGAAAACTACATATCCACATTTCTGAAAAGACTGAGTAATAATACTTCATGTGTTTCCCCACAAGTCTTTATCAAGTGCCTACTAAGTGACAGGTGTCTTGCAAGTCTTGGTAAGGGTGCAAGGTGGGATGTTTCTAGAGACTTCAGCATAGTACATATTCTCCTGTGCTTCCTGGTGCTGCTTTGTTCTGTGCCAGAGCTTCTGGAGACATCTCCTCATCCCTCTGAGGGGCGCCTGAGAGATGGGGCAGGAGAAAAGTGGAAGTAAGAGGCTACCAGTGAGGAACCGGCCTGAGGTCTCCCCACTCCAAAAACAACCCAAGTAGCCAAACTTCCCATCTGCTGTATATGTTGCATATATACGTTCAATTAAAAATAAGATTGTCTTTGAAAACAAATTCTATCATTAAAGAACAAATTAGATCATTCACTCATTTATCCCGTACCTTCTCACAAGAAACACAGGTAAGAACCACAGAGATGGTGGGAAGAGTGATTACAATGTGGGGATTGTAGTCAGCGTTGTACATCAAGATATGTATGAATAGTTGAATACCACTGTATGTATATAATTGAATACCAATCTGCTTTGTAAATTTTCACTTAAATCGCAATTAAAAAAAGTAAATGCACACACAATCAGATCACTATATGAGACCATAAGGTCAGAAACTAGTAAAATGCAAAGATGAGAAGATAACTTTTTTTAAAAAAGAGGGGGACAGAGAACGCAGTGCTCCTGAGTCAATTCTTGCTCCTAGAGACCCTGAAGGACAGAGTGGAGCTGCCCCAAGGGTTTCTGAGGCTGAAGATGAGGCTGCCTCATCTTTCTTCCATGGAGTGGCTGATGGATTGGTTCAACCGACCTTTCAGTTAGTAACCAAACTTAGTCCACCATGCCACCAGGGCTTCTGCAGAGAAACTAAAAAAATTCCCCCAAAAACAGAACTCCCTCAAACTTACTGCTGTCACATTGGAACAGACTCGTTCGCAGCCCCTTCTGAGGGCTTTCTGAGACGGTAAGTCACACAGGAGGAGACTGCCCTTCTTTCCCCCACGGAGCTGCTGGTGGATTTGAACCTGCACTGGGTTAAGCCTCTGAGAGGCACCACCATTGGGTTGTCAGCAAAACTCCCTGTGAACTACATGGCCAGAAGACTGGGAAGTGGAATAACCAGAACACAGTTAAAGAGAATGTTGACACAGTGTACAAAATATAATGAATGCCATGACAGGTTGTATAGAAATTGCCAAATGGGAACCTAATTTGGTGTGTAAGCATTTGCCAAATAACCAATGAAATACTAATTTTTAAAAAGCTGTATTAAAGAAAACAAAAAGCAACTTGGAAATTACTGATTCAGTTTAATGCTTATATTTGATAGAGTAAAAAATGGAGGTCAGAAATAGAAAGTATTTCACTGGAAATCATATTGGAAGCTGCATCCTTGTTACCATGTGCTGTTGTACTTATAATTCTAAGTAAGACAAGAGTTCCTGAATTGTGTTTGTATATGTCCTAACATCTCTGGTTCTTCAATTTAAAAATTGAGAACTAATAAAATATGTTGTTTTCCAAACTATTTTTAAGTGGATCTTTTCCAGAATGTTTTAAATTACTAAAATTTACTTAAACCTCAGTCATACAGAAGAGATTTGACCTCACCCTCTGCTCTTCCTCCCCAAGGAAGTTGGCAATGTGGCCTCGTGCTCAGCTGGGGAGTCTCAGGTGCCTGGGTTCCATTCCAGCCCGTCCAGCTGCTGGCTGAGCACAGCCTCAGTTTAATTGCTTAAACTCTCTAAAGCGTCAACCCCTTCCTCCTTAAATTGAGAATGAAGATGACAGTGCCTCATAGAATTGCTATGAGGCTTAAATAAAAGCATGTGTACAAGGCATTTGGCACAGTTGCTGAACTGAAGTTAACCACTAAATAAATGATTTTATAGTCTTAACTAATAATTACTAGAGACGAAACAAAAATGCTTTTCTTATTAAATATTGTTATTACCATTATTGTCTAAACCACAATTAATTTTACATGTTAAATGCTGTATCAAAAGCTGCCAAACTAAAGGTTGGCAAATTCACTAGCTGCTCTGCTGGAGAAATGCAGATAGTCTGCTTCCATGCAATTTACTACCTCTGAAAACCTACTAGAGGATAATCTATGGGTCATTTCTGACTCGATGGCACACAAGAATGACAGCAAGAAGACAAGCTAACTAGTTTAATTTAGTGTAGGTAGATTGATAACTTAATCAAGTGTATGGTGCTTCAGTGTGCATTGAACTCTTAAACTATCGGTGGTATGAAATTCTCTAGACAGTGCCTAAGGAACCCTGGTGGTGTTGTGGACTACATTCTGGGCTGCTAACCAAAAGGTTGGCAGATTGAACGTCTTCTGTTAAGGCTTACAGTGCGAGGAACCCCTTGGGGGTCACCATGACTTTGAATTGACCCAGTGACAGTGGGCTACTGAGTCAGACCTGGAAGGCTCGATGGACCCATTGTGTTCTGGGCCTCAGGCACAAAGTATCAATCACCACAAAGCAGTGCATCACCTGCTCCTTACATCTCACACCTGTAGGTATTACATGCTGGGGCCAATAGCATTGACTTCTAGTTGTTCTGAGGAACTGTGATAACGCAGCAGTTAAACGTTTGACTGCTAACTGAAAGCTGGTCAGCACCGGTTGACACACCAGAACTTCGGCTTCCGTAAAGCTCATTGCCAAAGAAACTCTCTAACATGGCTCCATCCTGCCGTGTTGAGGCTACCATGTATTGAAAACAACAGGTTCCATTCTTTTGTCCTTATAAAGATGAAGAGGGCTGAGACAACTTTAAAACCAACTTTTTTCTTTTTCTGCAGAGCCATTAAGCACCTTTCTTGCTGCCCCCACCCCTGTTACCACTGTGCCCACCAGGGCTGGGGCCTCTTTGTGACGTAGACTGTAGGCTGCCATCCCCTAGTCTAGAACTTAGTTGATTCTCAGGAAACATTTACTGGGTGAAGGAATGAGAGAGAACCTCCAAGTTCTAAGGCTTATGGAACTTAGGGAGCAAATTCATGAATCATTTGTTAATAGCTACAGTTTAAGAAAAATAGTCTTCATTGTCAAAAGTGCCTAGTACACAGTAAGACCTTCTAAAATTGTTTGGTTTTCCTACATTTCTGTTGCAGAGTAGAGAACACAGAATTGGTTTAAATCAAGGCTTAATTTGCTGATTCTACTCTTATTTTTCCCTAAAGGAACTGCCCCTTAATAGATTAGGATTTATTTGGTTTTTGTTGTTTGTTGTTGTTTTTAAAAAAGACTGAACGTGTTAAAGAAAATTATTAGATTTCAGTTCAGTGGTTGTAATTATCTATGCTCTCAAAGTCCTATTACTTCCTCGTGACCCACTAAATAACATCCTGCTTTATAGAAGGTCTACCTTGATAAGTATTTCTGCATTTAATAGACCTTTAGAGTATTGTCACTTAGAAACCATTTGTATTCCTTGGAAATTCCCAATGATTGGCTTAAATTGTCAGCAGTCGTCTGCCCCCAGCTCTACTGGTCAGGTCACTGAGGACCCTCAATTGATGGTTCCGGTAGACTCTTCTCTGTGACAATGGACATGTGGCCATTCATTCCTTCTTTCAGCCCCTTCATCTGCCAGTTTTCTTTGTCATCCACTTGTGGATTGAGAGCTCAGTGCCTGGCCTCTGTGAACTGCTGGGGTCGTGAAGATGAACAATGAGTGGTTTCCACCCTTATAGTAGTAATTATACTCAAGAGAGGAGACAAACAAGCTGACCAATGAGAGCAGTGGGTTATTTGCAGTAGTATGTTACAAGTCTGTGTAACAGTCATTTTCAAGGTATCTGTTATAGTTGAGTAAGGAGCCATGGAGGTATATTTCCACATGTGTTGAGCTACGAACTGAAAGATTAGCGGTTGAATCCATCAGCTACTCCACGGGAGAAACATGGCCAGTCTCCTCTCATAAAGATTTACAGCCACAGAAACCTTACAGGGGAACCCATGAATAAGAAGCAACTGAATGGCAGTGCTTTTTGTTTGGCTTTATTGTATCTAGTTGAGTAGGGGCAGGTAGGAAGACAGAGAATCTCATGGAGAGGTGCCTGTGAAGTCTAAAATTCTTTTACTTCTAATATGCATGTTAAGAAGCAGTTTCCTCATCATACTGCAAGGCAATGTTTGGTGTTATTAATGAAAAAGTGGTGAGCCTTGTGAAAGCACCTCTGTCCAAGGGAGCTGTGAGCATGTAAAGATCGGCGGTTTCTATCTCTGGAGTGAGACTGGGCATCCTGGTGGGACAGAGGAAAATCAAGGGAAAGAACACATAGGAAGTGACAGTTTAGTTTGAGCTTTAAGATTTAGTCAGAAATGTGCCAGATCCTTTTGATTAGGCGTGCCCCCAAAGCAGAAGAGACAGTATGAGAAGGGCAGAGTAATGTGATGCTGTGTAGTAACTCATGGGAATGGTAAGCTGCCCAGCCAAGGTAGACAGGAGATAACGCAAGGCATTCCGTCTATTCCAGGAAGCAATAGGCAGAACTGGAAGAGCTTTAAGAATGCTAATATGATTAATACATCCTGAGATTTGGTAAAAGGATGTTTTGTCAGAAATTGAGTCATTACTCTGTATGTATGTCTGAAATACTAAGGTTTGTCATAATCTTTTTTTTTTAATAATTAAGTGTTGAAAATTCATTTTCTAGACCTGTCATACCACATGAAGAGTATAGTGGGGTTTGAGTCATCCTCCTGACCTGCCTTTTCTCATTTCTCAGCCAGCCAGGCAGGACTCGTGAAATCGCCGCCATGCCTTCCAGAAGCTACTCCCCATACACCAGAGTCCTGGAGTTAACCATGAAGAAAACCCTGACCTACAGCCCAGGACAAGCGCGCTGTCCACTGATGGACAAGGGCCCTGACCTCTGAGTCCTCAGGACTACAAAGAGTGATGTTTGCTTCCTCACACACAGTTTTAGCCCTAACGGCACTTGCTGAGGTTTCTGCCCCACTTCTAAGACATGAGGGAAAGGAAGGTGACAAGGAGGGAGAAGAGAGAGGAATGTGTACGATCTCATAGTTCGAATGCCCAACCACCACATCCTGCTGTGCTATCTTAATTTGTTTCCCTCTATAGATACTTAAAGCTTGTCAAGAGAATTTCCCTCACATTTTACTTTCTCTTTTTCTAGACTTTGGTTGGGAGGGAAAGGGGCATTCACTTGAAATTCAGGTCAGGATCATTTGTTACAGTGTGAAGATTTTGTTTACCTGGACAAGTATTAGAGGCAGTGTTTCTCTGCGATGGAGCAGCCTGCCCAAGGCTGTGGATGCCGGAGCCTGGAAGGAAGGGCTTCCGTCATGCAGGTGCTCTCTGTCTTTTGAGTTCTGAGGATCTGTGCAGGGATCGTGGGAACCACAGTCAGAGATGGTGCCTGCCTGGGCCAGCCATCTCCAAGCTTCATTCTGATGCACTAATCCCTTGATTTTAATTTGTGCCTTATGCCTTTATTGGGCCAGCTGAAATCACTATATTTATACAGCCTGTGATTACACACCCCTTTTTCTTTCCTTCTCTCTTTAACTTAAAGAAAATTTTGTATGTTGCGGAAATGTCAATCATTTCATGTTTTCAGTATCAGTTGATGTTTTGTTAAATGAATGAGTAATCTCAATGCATGCGTGCACTTCTCTGGGACTATAATACTTGTCACACATATTTAATAAATGCCATATATTTTGTTCTACTGCTGTTGTCCTGGTTTTCATCCATAATCATGTTGAAGAAATAGTGAGCAGAATTAAATCTGAGAGGAATATCAGAGTCAGCTCACAGAGAGATTTCAACCAGAACCATCCAAAGAAGCATTTGTAAGCTGTGTGTGTGTGTGTATGTGAGAGAGAGAGAGAGAGAGAGAGAGAAATGCGTGA